ACCCCCAACCCCCACCCCCATGTTTATAACTAACAGGACGATCCTGACTTTGTTATCTTGATAAACACTGATATGGTTATCATGCTTTTTTTGTTAAAACATATTAACTTGTGAAATTTTCTGATACTAAGTTCATTATTTCTGAAACAATTTTGTTATAAAATGTGTAAATAATGAAAAAGAAAGTAGTGCTAATTACCTGGGGCAAGTTTTACACTGTCGATTGTATTACCTGGGGCAAGTTTTACACTGTCGATTGTATTATTACCTGGGGCAAGTTTTACACTGTCAATTGTATTACCTGGGGCAAGTTTTACACTGTCGATTGTATTACCTGGGGCAAGTTTTACACTGTCAATTGTATTACCAGAAGACAACACAACCTAATCTATGATATTACAGTATTTCCCCCCATCATCCATATACTTTGATAAAACAATATTTTTATAGATTTATTTTCGTGATATAGAATTAAACTGTCTTCCCTGAAGTCAAATTTTGGATATGTTTAAATTTTCAATTTGTTTTGTTTCGCTTTTTGCATTTCCAATTTTGCATATAAATTTGAAACTTTATTCTCTGTCGGAGCACTTTACATTGATGCCCTAAGAAATGAATGAGAAAGAACCTATTATTTTGATGTTTCTTTAACAGTGTTGAGAGAATGAAAGAGGAATATACTGTTAGTGTTATATCAGAGTTATTGGCATTTCTTACAATTTTTTTTAAAGAAAGATTGAAGCTAGAAGGAAACATGGTATTTTTGTAAAATTATAAATATACCAATAGAAAGTGACTGTATAAATATCAATGAACTGGAAAAAAAATCTAAAGGAATGCAATGTTATAAAAGATGAAACGATTGTTTCTATATGGCATAAATAACATTTTATGCATGAAACAGTTTATTTAAGAAATTGTTTATCCATATTTTCAAGACAACATGGAGGGAATGATTACTTTGTGATAAATGTTTTAAATTTTTTACAGTAAATACGCGTAATGAGTGTAGTGAACCATCTTGATAACACAAGTAAATCTTATTTATATGGAAATGTTGACAAGTAAATTGTGTCACACACAGCATGGAATTTAATTAATATTGCTGGCACATATTATATAAAATGTTATGTTAGACGTTGCTTTGAGTTTTTGTCTAATCTTCGTCGCATTACTGGTATCTTTTATAGTAAGCTCTCTGTCATTTGCTAACTCCTTTATATAGAGAAATTAACCAGAAACAATTATGATGGTAGCTGTATCATTGTTTTTTTCTTCTTCAAATTTTGTTTTAAAACCACACCTTCGTTTATAATACAGTGTTGTATATGATGTTTATTTTTATTAAAATCTTTGATAATTCATAATAACTTGCTGTAATTTTGCCTGTGATATAAAACAGCATCACCACTCAAACTGTCAGATATACATTGTCTTATCTATCATCATCAGGAAACATATCACCTGTAATTAAATTAATTCTCACCTGTGATAAGTAATTATAAATCCTTGTGATGCCTGTAATGAGGAAAGGCCTGTTAAAGGCTAAAGGTGCCCCACCTTGGGGAGTGTTATATCCAGCAGGTAATACAACACTGTGATAGCACTGTACAGTAATCCCTGTATGATACAGAGGCTGGGAGGAGGAGAGGCAGCATCACTATGTTACCGCTGCTGTTGTGGTGTTGGACCTCTCATTACTGACTGATATAGCTGGCTTGCCTGGGCTAGGGCTGTGTAGGGCTGTGTAGGGCAAGGCTTAGGGCTGTGGCTGGCTAAGTCACAGGCAGGGCTGGTACATAGTAAGGCTTGTACAGGGTAAGGCTGGTACTGGACAGTGGTTGGGTAAGGCTGTAGGGTCAACTAGGGCTCTGGTAGAAGGGTAAGGCTATGTTAGAGAGTCATAGAGGGAAAGGTGAGACTGTGGTAGAGGGAAAGTTAAGGGTGTGGTAAAGGAAAGAGTAGACTGTTGTAGAGGGAAGGGTATACTGTTTTAGAGGGAAGGGTAGACTCAGGTGGAGGGAAGGATAGACTGTTGTAGAGTGAAGTGTAGACTCAGGTGGAGGGAAGGGTAAACTGGTGTATAGGGAAGGGTAGACTGTTGTAGAGGGAAGGGTAGAATTAGGTGGAGGGAAGGGTAGTCTGTTGTATAGGGAAGGGTAGACTGTTGTAGAGGGAAGGGTATACTGTTTTAGAGGAAAGGGTGGTTTGTTGTAGAGGGAAGGGTTACGACTGTTGTAGAGTTAAGTGTAGACTGTTGTAGAGGGAAGGGTAGAATCAGGTGGAGGGAAGGGTAGTCTGTTTTAGAGGAAAGGGTAGACTGTTGTAGAGGAAGGGTAGACTGTTGTAGAGGGAAGGGTAGTCTGTTGTAGAGGGAAGGGAAGACTGTTGTAGAGGGAAGGGTAAACTGTTGTAGAGGGAAGGGAAGACTGTTGTAGAGGGAAGGGAAGACTGTTGTAGAGGGAAGGGTAAACTGTTGTAGAGGAATGAATAATTTGCTGTAGAGGGAAGAGTCAACTGTTGTAGAGGGACGGGTGAACTGTTGCAGAGGGAGGAGCAAACTCAGGAAGAAGGAAGGATAGACTGTTGTAGAGGGAGGGACATACTGTTGTAGAGGAAAGGGTAGTCTATCGTAGAGGGAAGGGTAGACTGTTGTAGAGTGAAGTGTAGACTCAGGTGGAGGGAAGGGTAAACTGGTGTATAGGGAAGGGTAGACTAACTTGTAGAGTGAAGAATAGACTTTTGTAGAGGGAAGAGTAGTCTGTTGTAGAGGGAAGGGAAGACTGTTGTAGAGGGAAGGTTAGACTGTTGTAGAGGGAAGGGTAGACTCAGGCGGAGGGAAGGGCAGTCTATTGTAGAGGGAAGAGTAGACTAACTTGTAGAGTGAAGAGTAGACTCAGGTAGAGGGAAGGGAAGACTGTTGTAGAGTGAAGAATAGACATAGACAGTTGTAGAGGGAAGGTTAGAGCCAGGTAGGGGCAAGGATAAGATACAGTGGTAAAGGGAGTGGTAAGACTGTGGTAGAGGGAAGAGTAGGGGAAGGGGGGCTTATAGAAGGAGGTTAAGACACTGGTAACGGGAATGATAAGACACTGTTGAGGGAAGGGTAAGACACTGGTAGAGGTTAGGGAAAGACATTGTTAGAGGGAAGGGTAAAACATTGGTAAAGGGAAGGATTAAAGACAGTGTTGAGGGAAGGGTAAACACTGGTAGAGGGAAGGGTAAGACACTGTGTTGAAGGAAGGATAAATTACTGGTAGAGGGAAGGGTAAGACACTTATTACATCTTATTACATCTTACAAGGGGTTTTGTGAAAAATATAACTTTCATCCGCAGCTAACTATGTTCTATCTGTTAAGAAATGCAATTATTTCAGCATGGAATATAATACATGTCAGAGAGTCCACTATAGTTCTGCCTCACTGCCCGAAGTTTATTTACAACATCATAACAAACAAAATAAGGGCTAAATCAATAAATAATTTATTGATCAAAGAATTGAAAGTTAATACAAAATATCAACTGAAATGGGCTGAAGACCTAGACTTAATAATGAATGACTTTCAGTGGAGGAAAGTAAATATGTCTATTTTCAAAAATACTAAAGACATTAAACTTAGATGGCTCCAGTACAGAATAACACATAGAATCATCAGTACAAATAAATATCTCCACATGATAAAAATAAAAGACTCTCCACTTTGCTCCTTCTATAATAATAACAATGAAACAATAATACATTTATTTTATGAATGTAGAGTAGTCGCTAGTTTCTGGAATGATTTCAAGCAATGGCTGTACACAAAAACCAATAAAATCATAGAACTGAACAATAATGATGTCATATTTTGAAAAGCAACACATACACAGGATATTAATGCTCTAAACAGTATTTTGCTGATTGCTAAGCACCACATTTATAAACAAAAATTAAAAACCAGTAGACCCAATATTGCTTACTTTAAAAAAGACCTGGAAGTAGACATTAGGATAGAACAGGTAATTTACAAAAAGAATATGGATTACGACAAGTTTGAAAATAAATGGTTCCAAATAATCTAACTTAATTGCCTTATAGACATGCTAGCGGTATTAAGCATTTTGTAATGAGTGAATGGATGCATGAAAATTATATGTTATGTGTCTTTTTTGCAATATAGGTATGTATTGGTACTCCAGTTGTAATAAACACAGCAGCATGTATAGTCAAACAAAAGTGTATCTCTGCTCTTCAAGGCAGAATCTGAGTGTAACAAATATATGATCAAATTGAAACTTTCTCTCGCATTGATGTGCCCCATTGTGAAATTGTGTTGTCATTTTCATTATATTATGCAAAAAGGAATATAAAAAAGTGTCAAATCAAAAAAAAAAAGACACTTTCTTAGGTGAAAAGGTAAGACCTTGATAAAGGGAAGGGCAAGTCACTGTAGTAAAGGGAAGGGTAAGCCTAAGAGTGGTATATGTAAGGGTATGGATTTGGTTGAGAGAAAGCCAAGCCTGTGCTAGAAGGAAGGGTAAAAATGTGGTAGCAGAAAGGTTAAGACTCTGGTAGAGGGAAAAGTAAGTCAGTGATAGAGGGAATGGGTAAGACAGTGGTAGAGGGAAGGTTAAGACACATGGGTAAAGGAAAGGGTAAGCCTCAGAGTAGTATACGAAAGGGTAAGGATTTGGCGGAAAGAAAGGTGAGCCTGTGATAGAGGGATGGGTGAACCACTATGATACAGGGAAGGGTAAGACACTGGTAGAGGGAAGGGTAAGACACTGGTAGAGGAAAGGGTAAGACACTGGTAGAGGGAAGGGTAAGACACTGGTAGAGGAAAGGGTAAGACACTGGTAGAGGGAAGGGTAAGACACTGGTAGAGGAAAGGGTAAGACACTGGTAGAGGGAAGGGTAAGACACTGGTAGAGGAAAGGGTAAGACACTGGTAGAGGGAAGGGTAAGACACTGGTAGAGGAAAGGGTAAGACACTGGTAGAGGGAAGGGTAAGACACTGGTAGAGGAAAGGGTAAGACACTGGTAGAGGGAAGGGTAAGACACTGGTAGAGGAAAGGGTAAGACACTGGTAGAGGGAAGGGTAAGACACTGGTAGAGGAAAGGGTAAGACACTGGTAGAGGGAAGGGTAAGACACTGGTAGAGGAAAGGGTAAGACACTGGTAGAGGAAAGGGTAAGACACTGGTAGAGGAAAGGGTAAGACACTGGTAGAGGGAAGGGTAAGACACTGGTAGAGGAAAGGGTAAGACACTGGTAGAGGAAGGGAAGGGAAAGACACTGACAGAGGGAATGTTAAGACATTGTGGTTAAAGGAAAAGGAAAGACACTGTGATAGAGGGAAGGGTAAGACACTTGGGTAGAGGGAAGTAGAAGACACTGATAGAGGGAAGGGTAAGACACTTGGATAGAGGGAAGTAGAAGACACTAATAGAGGGATGGGTGAACCACTGTGATACAGGGAAGGGTAAGACAGTGGTAGTGGGAAAGGTTATACACTGGTAGAGGGAAGGGTAATACACTGGTAGAGGGAAAGGTAATACACTGGTAGAGGGAAGGGTAATACACTGGTAGAGAGAAGGGTAAGACACTGATATAGGGAAGAGTACGACACTTGTTGAGGGAAGGGTAAGACACTGGTAAAGGGAAGGATAAGACTCTGGTAGAGGGAAGGGTAAGACACTGGTAGAGGGAAGGATAAGACTCTGGTAGAGGGAAGGGTAAGACACTGGTAAAGGGAAGGATAAGACTCTGGTAGAGGGAAGGATAAGACTCTGGTGGAGGAAAGGATAAGTCACTGTCTGAAGATACTATGTTGTTAACACTACTCTTCCAAAGTATTGTACTGATTTGAATGGAATCCTGTTACACAGACCCCTTACATTGTTGTTAGAGTTACATCTCCCATTCATGAAGTTATGCCTGTTTGTTTAAAATTGTTGCTTGCACTATTTCCTTTAAAATGCTTCACCAGTTTGAATCACTCATAGTACACATAACATATAAATGTAGTTATTTACCCTATTTAAGTATTTTGTGTATTTAAGGATGTGCAGTGAAAGTGAGGTTTTTAAACAAAGGCCAAAACTACATAAATAGGGGAGATAACTACTATTGTATTATTTAGGTCACCTGAGCTTTGCTCAAGTGACCTATTCTAATCGCTTTCCGTCCGTCGTTGTCCGTCGTCCGTTGTGCGTAAACTTTTTACATTTTCAACTTCTTCTCAAGAACCAGTTTATGTTTTTTTTTCAAACTTGGTCAGAATCATCCTTGGTAGATGAGGCTACAAAATTGTAAAATTGGGATTCCTACCCCAACCTCTGGGGCCAGGGTGGGGCCCAAAAGTGAAAATTAACCCAATATTTCAAAAATATTCTTCTCCAGACTCAGAGGTCATTTTCTCTGCATGGAAAGAAAGAGAATCAGGGTCTTTATTTAAATTGTAAATTTCAGGATCTCCGAGCTATCCATTCTCTCCTGGGGAGGGGGTAAAGTTTACTATAGTTTATATAGGGAAA